AAGTTATGTTTGGTATCGATTAAAATCTAAATTTTAATCTAAATCAAAATTAATAATTAATTCTAATAACATATTTCATGAAATCCATAACTATTTAACTTTTATCAAAATTTATTAAAAATTTGATTTTAATCTCTACCAAATAGGGGCAAAATCACAATAAATTTGAATTTCGATAACAAGCCAATTTTAAAAATTCTCCAATAATCGTACGCTAATTGAATCTATAAATTGCTTATATCATTTTAAAGCTTATTTCAAAAACTACATTATGGACATATCGAATAGTTCAAATAAATATCGAAAATAGTTAAACGTGAGTCTTAAAGAAAGACATCTAACTCACATTTTTTTAAAAAAAACATTCAATTATTTCATTATCATTTATTATTTTTGCGATACAAATTTCTCAATATAATTTTCATTATTTTATTAAAAAATTTTATATGGAATATGACATCAAAAAATTTTGAAATTTTACATCCGAAAAAGTCATATCTCATGTAAATTTTCAGATGCAAAATTACATAGGGTATGATTTTTTTGGACGAAAATTTTCGATTGTAAAATTTTTCCTAACTTTAAACTTCTGCGTTCGCCCCTGATCTGCAGCAATTTGTGCATCCAAGGAGAAGCCATCACAGTTACAGAACTTACATTACAAATAACAAGTTAAGGCTTATTCGCAATAAAGAAACTTACTTTACACAACAGCTCAAGAAAAATCATAAAATAGGAAATTAAAAGGGGAAAAGAGATGATAGGATATATATGGAACACAAAAAAGGCATGCCGAAGTACCACAAAGATAACAACTCAAACCTCTGTTTTTACTTTCTGAATATGCAATGTAGCATCCGCACAGGCATTTAAATACTGCCATTGAAGCTGTCGATTATATAACAGCCTCAATTTATGAACATCTTCTATGTGATTTGCAGCCTTCTTTCCTTTCTTAATATCCGCGAGAAAACTGAGAACAGAAGTTGAACTCTGAGGTTGTCTGGATGGGCTCGATGTTCTTACCCGAGCAGGACTTGGACCTCTAGATGAAGAGGAACCTACAGTCTTTGCTCGAGATGGATTGATCCCTTTAGTTGCAGAAGGTGAAGCAGGACGTGAGCCACGAGGCAAGGACTGAGATCTAACAGCAGGATTCACAAAAGGTGTTCTATCGAATGAACTTGAAAAGCTAGTCTTTTGAATCAGCATTGAACTTTCATCAGTTGAACTACAATTAGAACTCGAGCTTTCACATTCATCACTAGATACTAAGGTTAAGAAGTCACTGGACCATTTTTGCAAAGGTCTAGTTGCCCCATCAAAAGATAATCTCCTTAGGGGATGTGTGGTTATTCCTGAATGGGATAAAGATGACATTTTGCTATTTTTATCAGTAATATCGACACTTCTGTTCAAAATGTTGGAGGATACTTTTCCTCCAGTCCTGCTTGGGTACCGATGTTGCTCTAATAATCGAGTATGGAAACTATCAACCAGTCTAGAATTCTCGGACTGGTTAGCAGAGTTCTTTCCTTTATGTGGACTCTTCCTTTCTGATGTGGGCTTCCTAGAAGCAGGAGGAGTTTCACCCTGTCTATGGGCCATATTTGATGACGGCTTCAAATTGCAATCCGAAATTGCACGAGACACTGGTTTTTCCATCTTATTATCAGGAAGAGGAAAGGTAACAGACTGAAAAGAAACACCGTGATTGAGCATTGTAGATGGCCATAAAGACTCGGGTAATCTATTGCCTACTATTTTCCTGGATGCCAATAGCATTTCTGCTGTTGTCTCCTGGACTGGTGTTGATGGAGACGGGCTAGGTGGGGATGATGGTCTCGAGGGGCGCTTCCTTCCGGCTGATATAGCCCTCTTTGGTGCTCGTAAAGTTAAGGCTGATGATACCTTAACAGTTGGCGAATGACAGCATTTTGGATTGGCATCTGCCGATGGAGTTGGTGACCTATACCTAGAACTAACTTCTCTGGTTCGGGACCGATGAGCGGTTTCATTTTTGTTGTCAGCAGAAACCAATGGTGGTCTTGTAGTCTTTTCTGTTGATCGTTTCTGTAATGTTTGCTCTGATTCACATGCATCCATTCAGACTGTGCACATACCACATTGATGACCCTTATATATTAATAATAACTACGCATCACACTTAGACAGGCTTTCACAAATCACATAATCTGTTGATCATTAACACTGATTGCTCCAACTAGTTACTTTCTGCTACTGAAAATCTGCCAGATAAGTTCACACACTAAGAATGAAAGATACTAGAGATAGGAAAATAAAGAAAAGAAAAGAATTAGGCGTGACGAAAAAGAAAAAGACGAACGAAGGAATACATCTTTGCAGACACACAGATCCCCAGTAATCAGTATCCTACAAATACAACTTGGCCCAGATTAAGGCAAATCGCACAATTAGGCAACAGCAAAAAGAAGTTATTAAATGAATAAAAATCTAATGATGGATATACATAATTTAACAGCCAGTATAGTGGTGAAAAGCATATTGAAAATTACTGTCTACTGTAACAAAAAGAAAAAGACGGTGGAAGCTAGTTCCTCTCTCACAATTGAGAGTAAAAGGAATGCAATGGGTGTGGGAGAGTAGAATAACTAATAGGAGTTGTGTGGGATAAGAGTGCCCCTCTTGCCTTTTCATTTCCTATTTGTATTTTAGTTTCTTTCCTTCTTTCCCCTTATATTTTTGGTTCCCAGCCTATTGTCCATCTCACGGGAGTGCCATGCTTGGAGCTCTCAGCATGTTACTCAGACACAAGCACATTTTCAGCAAGTAACACTCGCATTCAAAGCTCTTCTAGCCTGTTCCTTCTTTCCCCCACCCAACTCCTATTCATGAAAGGGAATTCCTTGAAAATGGTACCTTCAACTCTCTCTCTCACACACACACGCGCGCGCGCGCACAGAGAGATTAATGTATGAATGCTCACAGACAAACATACAGTCACACACAACGAGCATCCCCCATCTCACTGAGGCAAAATTAAAAAATAAAGTCAAGAAAGTCAAATTACATGTCTTGATACAGATATGCATTTCTTAAAAGCCACTCAAATGGTAGTTATTCTCCTCATGCGCTTTGCTAGTTGTTAATTAATTGGCAAAAATTATTCCAAAACAATGATTAAGGGTTTGTTTGTACTTGCAACATAATTAAAAAATAGGGAAAACAATGAACAATAATTATCATGATATGGGAACAGGGACATGGAGGCCAGGCCATGTGCAAGTAGAGATCACTTTCCATCTCAATAAACTCACTGTACCATAAATTCACTAAACACCAAAACCCAAAGTAATGAAGCATCGTTACGTGAAGTGAAGCAAAAAATAAGAGAGTTTTGATCTTTTGTATTTCTTTTTTATTTTTCGTATTCAGGAACATAAATCGATGCGAACCTTTTTCTATAGAAAACCAGATATTGAAAGTGTAGAGGAATTTTACATGAATAAATGCAGGAAATCACGTTGTGTGTTTTGTAAGATTTTGTTCACAATTCTGATAACATCTATAGATTCATGTATAATCTCCACACAGAAGCTTCAAAAAGCAGTAGAAAAATATTTTGTCATATTTTTAAAATAAATTCAGCGAAAAAAATTCCACCAGAAAAATAGAGCAATAAATAATAATATAAGAATTTCTACTTTTGTTCAAAAAATGTAATTCGAAAATCAAAAACTTTGAAACGCATAAACAATAAATTTTCCACAAACCTCAAAAATCTTTAAACAGAAACCCCTAAATATTCATCAATTTACTCAAAAAGATGGAATGAGGAAAACGATCCAAACGCATATAACAAAAAATTAATTGAAACAGCGAAAAATGGTAAAAATGCATTAAAGGTTTTAAAAAGCACGAAATTCACATTGAAATGCAAATACTTTAATCACAAAAATACGTTATTTCACACATAGAATATAATCCTACGTACCTGTATTTTCCAGTTCTTAAGAGTAACTGTAATCCCACTAGATTCTCCACAAATTTCCACAGCGCTGAAGATGAACTCATTCAAAAGAAGAAAAATAATTGATGTTTCAGTTAAAGAGTCGTTGAAGAGGAGAGGACAAAAGAGGCGGCAGTTGTATTCGCGCCATCTAATTAATTTATTATTAATCATCATTTAACTCTAATTATTTATGTGCTACGTGTATAGTGAGATTGATAATGTTATTTTTGTGACGGTATTGCCCTTTATAATTGTTTTTAAGATTTCGCGGAAGAAAGGGAGAGGAGTTTACTCGAGGATGGGGTTAGACTTTAGGAATTTTAAAAAAATAAAATAAAATAAAATTAATGACTAATCAAAATTGAACATATCCATTAACCAGAAGAAATTATCTAAGTAATGATACTTAGCTTATGTTAAATATAATGACATGATACATCAATTAATTGGTGAAGTACTTAACATAAGTTAAAAGTCGATCCTTAGTGGATCATTTCTAATTAACTAGATCCATATAGGTTTGTAATATATTGGAGTGGTTAACTCATTTAGTCTCTGTTTGACAATTATTATCTCAAAATTATTTATTCTATATGTTCATTTTTAATCACACATTCATATAATAAATTATTCAGCATGTAAACTCAAAAATTTTTCATACTTTTTAACCATTTAATGGCCATCAAATAGGAGCTTAATTTAAATTAGGAAAAATTAGGGTTTAGGATCTTCAACCCTTTCACATAGTGTGGTTATAAGTTTTTAATTTTCAAAAGTGAGATTATAGGTTCTCAACCAATTTAAATCTATTGATGTAGGGCACACTCATGACTGAAATAATTAATGTGGCCGTTCACGTGACTTAAATATGAATAAAAAAATCGTCAAATCACTTAGAGCCTGCTTGGTAGAGATTAAAATTGAAAAATTAACCGTTATTGTTGACTTTTATTAGACGAGTGGGGTCCAATAACGGCTATATTTTCAATTTTAATTGGATTTTAATCGGTACCAAACGGACCCTTAATATTTTTTCCCAATGTAATCGAGACTCGCGTGCAATTTAAAGTTTACATTGACCATTCTGGTTATGTGGGGACCTAGATTAACAAATATAATTTCTTATCATGTTTTTTATTGTGAATAATGATATATACTCAATTATACCCTACCAATTTTTATACGGGGTCAAATTTAAATTCTTCTTATAATGTATTCAATTTGAATAACTTCAAACCAATTAAATTTGTATCAAGATGAAGGGAAATTGACATATTTGTAATAAGTCCACTTTTGCTCACAATCTTTATTTTGTAACGACATTTGGGTCTCAACAACTAATTTCGTCTAAAAAAAATTTACGTGACAAAGAATATTAGTACAATTACGATCAGATTTCGATATTAAACTTGCTCATTGTGCCTCTAAGATAGCATTTTACGTATATAAATCGGTTACAAGTAAACAATCGAATTTTGTAAATTAACTGCATTAATATCGACTCAAAAGCTCCAATCTGACTTGGTATTTACCCATTGACCTGATTCAGAAGTTATTTTTTTATCTATTAAATTAGAACCAAGCTATAGGTACAGGAATTCACCTACAGAACACTCACAATTCAAGGCGGGAGCAGAATTTTTTTTCCAATATTTTATACATGGGGCCTGAAAAATTCAAAATTCTGTACATTTTCTGTCAAAATTTCCCTGTACTTTCAGCATTTTTCATTAAATTAACAAAATAGACTCAATGGCTGTACTTTTTATTCCCCTTTTCTGTAAATGACAGTAACAAGGATACAAAATTAACCTATTTATTTGTTCATATTCCACACAACTTTTAATAATTTTATTCTAGATGCCATTGGAATATTAGTATTTAAACAAGTTGTGACATCAATTTCCTAATTAATTTAATAATTTTTTTTTTCATCTTTGAAGAGTCTGACAGAATAAATTACTCAACTTTCATTATCAACTTTTGAGTCTTCTTTAATAACCAATTAAGATATTTACTTTTTTTTATTGAGGTTGGTTTCAACCTTTTTGAGTCCCCGTATGCCAAGAATAATTCATAAATACTACAAATACGCTGTCAGCATTTAATAAATTATTGAAAAAATACAATAAAAAGACAGATAAATTTTTGAGATCTCCTAGCCGGTAAAGATATATGTCGATATCGTAACCAAATCTGTTCAAACATATCTTAATTATTAAAATAGTTCATTTACCAAAGTTTTTCTAAAAATTAAATATGTAGCCAACAATTAATGACATAAACTACCTCCAAAACGGCCAAAGCTTAACTAAGAGTGTAGCTTTTCTATCTAGTATGGATAGGAAATAGTGTAGATTCAGGTTTTAAGATGAGTCAATAGTCAAGTGAAACTCGTTATTTTTTTTTTTTTTTTCAAGAGCCTGGGCGAGCTCAGCTCGTCTCAATCTCATGGAATAGGTCCACTAGCCTGGCCCACGACCCCACTCGTGAGCCACTTCATGTGACCACTTGGATGGTTCAACAGTCAAAAAATGACTAGTTGGAGCGAGCCAGCCCATTGCCACTACCACGTATGCGTGTGGATACTTGGTGTATCAAAAATAATCTCCCTTTTGTCCAAGTTTTATTATCTTCTAGAATATGAAATTCGATATCCTAATAGGTAAATTCTTTTATTTTAATGAAATTTAAATCCAACTTTTATATTTAAACTCAATTTTGTCTCGCTGGAGTTAGAAATTAAAAATATATAGACTTGAGACTTTACTTCTTTCGGTGCAATCAAGTAAACACACAGCGTGCCAGATTTCTTAATTTGATTGTAATCATTGTTTAACTTTAAAATTGACGATTCTTAAATTCTAGCCTACTACATGATGAAGACAAATCCCATGTTATGTTACTTTCTCTTGGATTAGTGGACCATTGTCCCTATCTTTAAGTTGATTTTGTCAAAATCTAACGATTGCAGCTTTGCCTCTTTATGTTTTATTAAAGCATTTTCACATGCATTCTTCTAATAAAGCCTCCAACTTTAGAAGAAAGCTAGAATTAGCTTACCGCGGATTTTTATTTTCCAAGATACAAACTATTCAGTCAACAAATTCAT